TGCAATTCATCACAATCTAAGTTAAGCACCGGATCAGAATTACTCCAAACAAAACAAGTTATCATGTGAACTTAGAATCAATTACTTGGTAGTCAACATCAGATTATTCAAGTATATTATGCCCAATCAAACTTCAATATTCCTTATCATCATTATGCTCTAGGTGATAGATCTGTTTGCTTTTAACATTGTAATTTTACTAGTTTAGCAGAACTACCAATATATTTCCACAAGTAATTCTATCATAGTATACTCAGACAATTAGATCAACAGAAAACTATATCATATGCTAGAGTTTCAATTAACAAAAATATCATCCATTGATATGAATTCAATCCCTAACAAAATCAGTCCTAATTCAATAACTAAGTGGCTATCAGTCGGCATCCAACATCAACATGAAGAGGCTATCAAATATGTGGGATGCTCAATATTTGTAATGGATTGAATATCATAAACATGCCAAATCACCGATTACAATAGCCATGGTATTATGAGACTAACTGATTTAAATCAAGACATCCAATCAGCTAAACAAGATTTCAATCCAATAATATTTTTGGGTCGTACAAGTGGAGATTTTTCGTAAAAATAAGGATAGCTCTGGTGGAATTTCTGAGAATAAATATTATTATAAAAATATATGATTGTTCACTTGATTCTGATTACTCTGTAAAACAGAGATATATAATTTTTTGATGTGTTTTGATGATTGTGATAAAATGTATTTTGATTAATTTTGATACGGATAATTTTGATGTAAGTTTCTGATTCTGAACTAAAATATGTCTGTTTGAAAAGGGTAAATTCTAGTTGAATATAATTACTAGAATGAAATTATGAAGAATATGCTGTGAAAGTTTTGTTTGTGAAGGAAAGTAATGTTATTATAATTTGTAAGATTATATGTATTAATTGAAAAGTAAGAATGAATTAAAAAGCGTAATTGTATTATCTGAGAATATATGATGTCTGTCTATGTTTGGAAATTAACATGTAATGCAAGAAGTGAACTTGTGGGTGGAGATTTCTCCATAAATCCTGAGCTTATTGAGATTCCTTCTCACCCCGCGTTATAGGGATATATTTCAAGTACTTCCAAAGTAAAGGATAGAGATAAGGGTAAAAGATCAGTGGAAGAAGACTAAAGTTATGTTCGGAGCTGCTAGTTGCTTGGATATATGTTTTGTAAGATCTCTGTATATATGTTTTGGTGTGATAACTAGTAGAAACAGTATTTTGATAGGCCTACGTTGCCTATGCAAATGTTTTGTAAAGATTAACAGACATATGTAAATATGGTTTGGTAGTTTAAAGTAAATGGCACAGAGCCATCTTTTTTATGTGGTTAAAATGAATGAATATTGTGTTAATCAGGTCTTATTGATAAGAGGAATTGTGGAATCCCTAGACGTTGGAAAAATAGTGGAGGTGTTGTCAAAATTTAAAAGAAAACATAAGTGTTGTGTGTATGACTTTGGTAAGTCATATCTCACTCAATTCTTTGTCAAATGAGATGTGTGAGCTGTTATTTTGAAGATTAGGATGTGAACTTTAATGTCCTAGAATATGGGACAACAATGAGTGTAAAAACATGGTGCAATTTTGCTATTTTGTTTGCTGCCCAGTTTGTAGTGAATTTGACGGCAAGAGTTGATAACTAAGAAAATTCATAACTCCTTCGCTTCTTATCGAAACAAAGCTTATAATATATCAAATTGAAGGTCTAGATGTCAAATATAACATATCCAAAATTGAGAGAAAATAGGTAAATCTTTTTACTGCAGTATGCTACGCTATAAAGCAGTGCAGTTCTCGCTGTTGACGTATGTTGACAGTTTTGAGTAGTAAACTTACCGTAAAGATATATGGAGTTGTAGAAGTTCAAATTAAGCTTATAATACCTTGTTGAAAAGCTTATATTGCCTAGTTTAACATACTAGAAGATGGAAATTTAATTATAAACAAGTCAAGTGCAATTTTCACAAAACCGAACCTATATAAGGTTGGTACGTCGGGTAAAAACGTATCGTTGCTTCGTTGGTTTATGCGAACCACTTAGCATTCTTTGTGTGTGCTTTCTGTGATATTTAAGCAGTACAATTTATATTCCACAAACATTTTTGGTTATGATCATGTTAAGGGAATTGTTTTGAATATGGTAGTTTAAATGAAAACTCGTTTATAAAAGGAAAAAATTTACCGTATTTTAATTCAATTACCGTGATTATAACTAAGCTTAATATCATAAGTATGGTTAATAAGCCAGTCCGAAACGGGGTGTTACAGATTCTCAATAAATTATAATTGTTGATTGCCGAAAATCAACGGTTAAGATTTATTGTCAAAGGATCCTATCTCATGTGTGTGTGTGTCTATATATATATATAGGGATATGATCAACTTACACCAGTGTAAGATTAATAAATCTTACACCAAATCTTAAATGTTGATTTCTGTGCATCTAATGGTTGAGTTTTATTGGGAATTAAAAATTAATTAATGAGTGAGACCTAATAAATCTTAACCGCTAGATGCAAAAAATCAATGGTTAAGATTTGGTGTAAGACTTATTATTCTTACACCGGTGTAAGATGATCCTGCCCCATATATATATATATATATATATATATATATATATATATATATATATATGGGGAAAACATTTCTCAAGCTGCTTGAGACAAGTTTAACTCTGGCCACTACAAAACTACGTCGTTTTGTTTATTTATTTATTTATATAAATTGTTTCACCTTTGAATGGTTATGATTCCGTTTTTCTCTATTTTCCTTTATCACCATTGATCCATCTTTGTACGGTTATGATTTAATAGCCGGAGATAATTTTATCTCCGGCAGCTTGAGAAATGATAAGCCATATATATATATATATATGAAAAAATATTCCTACGGCCACTTTAGATAAGGTTATCTACAGCCACCCTAAAAACTACGTCGTTTTGATTAATGAAGGGTGTTTATGTAATTTTAGGTGAATTAATGGAGGATGTTTCAGTAAAATGTATATGATAAAAAAATAAATAAAATTACCAAAAAAAACCCTTCATTAATTCATCTAAAATTACAGAAACACCATTAATTAATTAAAATGACGTAGTTTTTGAGTAGCTGCAGATAACTTTATCTAAAATAGTTGTAGAAATGTTTACCCCATATATATATATATATATATAATTGGGATTTATTGATTAATGTTATATGTATTGCTTATTAGGTTTGAACCCACATATAAAATCATTTTTAACACCAATTTAAACACGTTTAGATTGATTGTTTGGACTCTGATTGTATCGGTTCATCCGATCAGTTGGATCCAACATTTTTTTCTTTTCTTTGATACACAAGTTCGATCCCATTTTAATAACATTAACCTGGAGTCATTTGCAATAGAACTAATTTTAAAAGATGTTTGTGTAACGAATTGGACACATGTCACCATGAGTTACGTAAGACCAATACCATAATCCTTTTGCTATTGAGTACAAATGTACAGCATACCTCTTGCAGGACATTACTTAAACACAGGTATAAAATTGGACCACTCGAAATTCTAGACATATTCTGATTTTAGCCCAAAACTCGACTATACCCATCTCTTTTAATCACCACTCGTTAAGCTAGAACTCATACATTTGCGACATTGGCTTATGTGGATATATTATGAATAAATGATTTTTAGACATTTTTTAAGCTAATTTTTTGTCAGTCTAATTTATAATTTTATATATAAAATTTATATACCTGTAAAAATATTAGTAGCAGTTGAAATTTTATTTAAAAATAAAAATTCTAGATAAATGTTACAAATATCCTAAATATGTTTTTTTAGTGAGATATTGTAGAAAAGAGGAAGCATTATTTAAGCGTTTGATGTTTGTGATTTTAAAAGACATAAACTTGTGTCATTTTAAGTGATAGAAAGACACAAGAAATGAAAATCATGGGAGAAGAAAGTGGGTATTTTTTAATTTAAAATTTAAACAAAAAATATTAGTTGTATCTTTCTCTCACATAAAATTACACAATTCTATATTCTTTAAAAGGATAAATATTTTTCCTATAATTTATTTAAACACAACCGGAAAAAAAAGTTTATTTGAGTATGCTTTGTTCCTTCTTAAAACATCTCAAAATGTTTGTTTTAAAATAGATATATTATATGAAAAAAAATGTTTGTCATTTTAAATGACACAAAATTATGTCATTTTTAATGAAAATAGGTGTTTTATCATTTTCTCTTTTTTATAAAACTAGGAAGAAAAAGAAAGTGGAGGAAAGAGAATATAAAAACACACCAAAACGGAATAATTTCATTAAAAAAAGGCTTTAATATTTCTGTAGTGAATATAAATAAGTAATCTACATTTACTCCCCAAACGACGTCGTTTTGGGTTGAAAAATTAAAAAATTATAATTAAAAAGACTATTATAACCTTGAAATACATTATAATTACAAAAATATCTTGATTTTTGCCTCAAAACGACGTCGTTTCGGGCTCAATATAGATAACTTATCTACATTAATTGTAAAAAAAATAAACCCTAAAAATAATATAACTTTGTGTCATTTAAAATAACAAACATTTTTTCGATATTATATTGCTTCGGCCTCTATCACAAGGTTCTATTTGGTTTTATCTTCTCCTTCGGGCCCTTGGGCTGAATGGGCCAGTCTTTTCACTAGGTATTTTTGTTTTTTTTTTTAATAATTCTTCTGTTGTTATTATACATAGCAGTTACTTACAAAACAAAGGCAAGTAGAATTGGTACATCGGCAAGGAACCGTTCAATCTGGTGATGAATCTGATAATTGATGATCATGGTTATTTGATGGTGGATGCTGATGGTTGAGATGCGACGTTTTGTGGCGAAACAGAGCAATTGAAGTTAGTTTGGTTATGTAGCTTTGGTAGTATACTATCGATCCTTTAGGAGATTACATATTAAATCGACTGTGGATTTGATTGGTTGGTCATTGTATTGAAGGTTATGGTTGAGAGAGATTTGTAAGGTATAAGCCCAAGGTATTGCTTGTTCTGATGTTAGTTTGTTCTCTTGCTTGTTAATGGACCTTTGCCATGTCTGGTCTCAATAAGAAGCAACAATGCTGTTACAGTGATAATGCAACAAAACAGGGGAAGAGAGGGAACATAATGCTAAATTCTCATCTTGAAATCAATCTTTATCTTTAGTACAAAAATGGTTCCTGTGAAAATTGAAGCAATAGCAGCCTTTCCTTTGACATTTTTGTTTCTTCTACCATTGTTTGGTCAATTGGTTAAATGATGTTAAATGGAACAAAAGGAAGCAAATATCTTTAAGAGTATGCTTCCACTTCTGTATAAATTATTATCAGTTTTTTTTTTTTAATGTATTGCATTGAAATATAAACCTTTTCTTTCTCTTAACTCTCCGAAGTTACAGGAAATGTAATATTTGTTCCTGGATATCTCCAACGTCTCTGTGGTTCTTGAATTCATGGGCAACGTCATTGAATCATTTGGTTCGGGCCTGGGAAACGCTGTTGGCAAACTTTTTGGTTCTCCAATTGAATTTCTTTCCGGAAAGTCTTGCAGGTTTATCTATACTCTCATAATGATTCTTCATACTAGTATACTATATAGTCTTTAAGAATTTTAGACATTGTGTGATGTTGTGGTGTTGAATAATGCTATTTACACAACAATTTGCCATGGCTAATTGAGTTTAAAATTATGAAGTTTATTTAAGTGGGGCAGTTATGTAAGTTCAGATGGAACTTCAAGAGTAGTTGTGCACCGTTTTGTAGGTAGTTATGTTGTGGTGGTTAGTGCTCAGTGTCCTTAAGGATAGTTTGTCTTCACTTCCTGACTTCCTGCTTGATATATATATGATATGTTTCAGTTCAGTATGCGGACCAACATGGGATCTTGTATGCTATATCGAGAATTTTTGTGTTGCCAATCTCTTCAGGCTGGCCATGGTATTTGTTCTGTTGTACATTGGTGAGTTCAACTGTTTTTGTGATTTGGTCACAACATGTTACTCCGGTTTCTTTGATTAAGTTTTCTATTTAAATTCAGATTGCAATATCTTTCTTTTTAGTACATGACATCAACTTAGCCCTAATATTGTTTTGACATATCTGAAATTGGGTATGTGCTGTTGTTTTCTTGCAGTTCTGCTGTTCTTCTATCTGCTGCATAAATTGGGCATATATGGATGTATTATCCGGTGTGTTTGCAGAATGATATGGGCATGTTTCTCTTCTTGTTTCCACATTCTGGAGTATTCTTGCACTTTCCTGTGTTTTCAACTATACAAGGTCAGAAGGAGAAGAAAAATGGTCAGAATGGGCATAAATCAAAAGTTCCACTCTAAAACTAGAGAAGATTACACTGATGAATGCCTTTCATACCATTTTCCAACATCTGCAAAAATAAGCAAATCATTTTCGCGTAGAAGGAGAGACTATAAAGGCTCCCACTTAAGAAAGTCTTTGCGGCCTAGGAAACATCATGCTCGAGTTGAAATTAGTAGAGATCTTAGTTATAAAAATAAAAGGAATCATAGTTTTGGAGATCCCATTTACACAGGCAGTGCCATTAATCTTGGCAATTACAGAGGCACAGTCCATGACGTCAAGGTAACCCATTCATCTAAGTTTGCCAGAAAAGGTATAAACAAAAGAAAAAGAGTTCTTCAAAAGCAGAGATGCTAGAGAATATTTCAGAGGGTAATAATATGTGAACCATTTTGTATTAATGCATGTTTGCGATTTGTTAGGAGGAAAAAAGAAGCATGTATCTTTGATTTCCTTCTTATTCTTTGATAACAGGGAAAAAGGTATGAAGAAGAGAATATGGCTTTGACCGCTGCACATCTAAACACTTCACTTCATATTGAAGTTTTTTTTTTTTTTTCTTTCCCTCATGAAATCATAATGAGAAAGGGTGCAAAGCATTTTTGTTTGATAAGAATCATGACGAGATGCATATACTGAAAATTTTAGTATACAAGTTTTCTGTCTCTAGAAATTGATAAATATGCATATAAATAATGCAATAAGAAAAAAAAGCAATAAATAAATAAGAGAAAAGAAGTATCATTTTAAAGGACATAAGCTTGTGTCTTTTTAGGTGATTTACACAAAGTATGACCGATCATACTTTGTGTAAGTCACTAAAAGGACACAACTTGTGTTTCTTTAAATACACACACTAAACCCAACTCGTAATGGTAGTTGATAGCTTCTTTTGAGGAATAAGGTATATTGCTACTTCTGGAGGAGGATGTTTTGCTATTGCTTTTCACAAGGGCTGCCTTATCCAAAAAGAAAGTCTGAAGTTTACAACCGTTATAGGTAATGCCACGGTGGGAGACCTTGAAATTTACAAGAATCAGGAATATTGGGAATTAATGACAAAGGGTTTCCATTACTTGACATTGAAGTTTGTTCATCCACAAAGAAATCTAAATTATATTCCTATTCATCCCTTAAATACCTCAATGGCTTTGTTCTGTTCTCAATTCGTCAATTGTATCTGAACACCTTTTTGTCCATGAATGGAAGGTGAAGAGGGAAAACAATCTTCCCACGAAAATCCATACACTGAATTTGAGGAAGTTAACTTTGATTATTTTCTAGCAATTAGCTTGCAAGAACAAGAGAGAACGTTCACAACGCTAGCAACGATTCAAAGTGATGAAGATGCAAGTGACTCCTCTTTTAATAATGATGATGGTGATGCTGATTTTTTAGAGAGCCAAGAGTTTGAAACCAACAATCCGTTTCTTGAAGGTGAAGGAAGCAATTATGATGAAGAAATGGAAATGGAAGAAGATGACATTGATCCAGATGAATTATCTTATGAAGAGTTGATTGAGTTGGGAGAGTTTATAGGAGAAGAGAAGAGAGGAATATCAGCAAATGAAATCTCTTCATGCTTAAGCCCTTACACTTACCAATCTGCTGAAAGCAAAAGTGGAATCGACCGTTGTGTGATTTGTCAGGTTGAATATAAAGAAGGTGAAGCCCTGATGGCACTTCAATGTGAACACCCTTATCATACAGATTGCATAACCGAGTGGCTTCAAATTAAGAAGGTTTGTCCAATATGTAACAATGAAGTTTCAGCTCCCAACATGGCTAAGAACCCTTGATTATTTAGTTTGGATTGTAAAATTGATGTGTATATAGAATTTACATTTGAATGAAATTATAGTTGAGAAAACAAATAAAGCATATAAGCTTTCGATCATCACAAACAATATAACAGAAAATTAAATTTCATAATGTTATCAATCCCTTTGGTTATAACTTGCAGCCCTCGAATTTCCATATAAAATCAATCTGCGTGGTTTTGGAAACCTTATTAATGCTTGTTAGTATAGATATGTTCCCAATTGCAAATTCATTTAAATAATATCCTCTGAATTGAAAAGAAACCATTCTTTAATTGTTTCTTACGCCATTTTCTTTAATTTTGTTTAGAGTCTTCTTGTGAGACCCCACCATTTCAGGAAAATAGAAGAAAAAAATTACGACCAGCATTGCTTGTTTTTTATGTTTATATATTATTCATTGATTACTTGACTAATTCGATTCGAATCGGGTAAGATCACATGAGCGACAAAAATCTCTCTATCAAATTTTAAGATAATTGCATTCTGAGGACTCGAACTCGAAACCACTTACCAATTGATATATGCTTGGCGGTATCAAATAAAACATCAAATTCGTTCTTGACACTAAAATGACAATTTGATGGTGTATTGCAATCTCTATTTTTTTTCAAACAATTTGAGAGATTATGAACAGTGTCAATCCTACTTTGATATTATTCATTAATTACTCAACTAATTTGATTCGAGTCGAGTAAGACTACATAGACAACAAAATTATCCCAACTAAATTTTAGCATAATTGCATTCCCACGACTCGAACTTGAAATCATTTACCAATTGATCCATGGTATCAAATAAAACATCAAATTCCTTCTTAACAATAAAATGAAAATTTGATGGGATTGTAATCTCTATTTTATTTTTATTTTTTTATCAAACAATCTAAGAGATTGTAAACACAGTGTCAATCATACTCTCTGTTCTAAAATAGTTAGAAACACATTTTGCTTTTCTACTCTTTTTTAATAGGGAAAAATAAAAATAATATCGTAGTAAAGTTGTTAGGTTATGTTATAGAGATATGAATTGTGGGACCCACACTTGATTTCAAAAAAAAAACAAAACAAGTGTGAATTTCACAATTCCTATCTTTACACCATAACCTAACAACTTTCGTACACGAATTATACTTCTATTTCCCTTTATATGTATGTTTGATTGAACATGAAGGAGGGAAGGTTCTTGCTGTTTCTTTGAGGCTGTCATGCCGCAACTAGCAAAAGGCCATATATCATACTCTATTATGCGAGGTGCTAGTCTTGTCATTGAACAGTGAACTTCAAATGTTGAAAGACACAAGATAAGATTGAAAATTCACTGCGGAAGAAAAAAACAAACAAACAAAGGAATTAAATAAGTCAGGTTTCTGGAAGCCTTGCCTCTCGATCCCCACTCCCACATTATGTAGTTGCAAAATAAAAAGAACATCAACCAGAGCCGCTTCAAAGGTTACCTTAATGAAAAAAATCATAATTAGTGCGTGTTTGAATTCTCTTATTTTTAAGTTAGAAACTACTTATAAGTTAAAGTTAAAAAAAAATTAAAAAAAGAAGCCAAAAATTATTTGAAAATTACATAAAAATTACTTAAAAGCACATATTTCAAGAAAATTATCTCTCTCTCTATCTTTATCACTCTTAATTTTAAAAAAAGCACACAATTCAAAAAAAAAAAAACAGATAAGAGCTTAAAAAAAACACCTCCCAGAAGCTTTTAGTTTTTATCTCTTTTCTTCATTATAAAAAAAAGATTTTTTTATTATAAGAGTTTTTCCCAAAACCTGTTTGACCTAACTTATACTTATAAGTAATTTCTAACTTAAAAAAAGAGAATCCAAACATACATTTAATAAACAATTAATTGACAAAAGTATCCATGCGTGGAATTAGTGGAAGCATTTTACTTTATCATTAATTGTCGCATGAAGAATAAGTTCTAAATTTCTAATCATAAGACGACAAGAACAGATTGAATTTGTAAATAGGAAAAATTAAAAGAGATGGCATTAAGCATGCATGTGTGGAAGTAGTTGATATTTAATTATGTAATTTTTTATTATTTAGGAGTCATTAAATACTTTTAATTTTTAATGTAATTTTATTTAAATAAATGGCTCGTATCTTACAATGTAGATTGGCTCTAATTCATGGAATAGTTAGTTATTAATGAAAATTGCTGTTATGGACCGCGGCCAATTTACTATCAGGCCCAACAAGGGATAATTTAAATATAAATATGATATAATTAAAGGAGAATATCTATCTGAGATATCATTCCTAATACAACAACATTAAACATGAACTTGGGCAGCTAGAAGAGACATAGAAGGTTCAGAATCCAATACGCACAGGTAACCTCTATAAATAAGAGGTAAAGCCTACATGTATGATGATTCTCCATCTTACTGTTATGTTGTCATTGTGCACACACATCACCCCTTTTGTGAAAGTTGTTCTTTATGCTTTTTGCACAGTGATCTGCTAAACTCAAGGGTATCTAACTCATAGATACCTTAGAGGGAGCACCTAGATCCAAAAGTAATTCACTAGCCTATTAGGCTAGACATCTCTGTCTTTATGACAGAACAATGGCGTCGTCTGTGGGGAACGTCTAAATTGTTGTTCCCACGGTCACGATAAAGAATGGCAGTCCGTACAAGGAGTAGTGGTCAATTGTCGCCACATCCAAATCTACTGTTGCATCCTGTTGTGGAGGAGATAAATCAACCACAGAATCAACCTAAAAACGAGACTGATTATGATGCTTGTAATGCCCCTACAGCCGGTTAATTAACATTTATATGATACTAAGCGTAGCATGCTCAACTTAATTAATGCGGAAGCTAACTAAATAAATCTTCTCTTTTTCCTTATGTATTACAAACTTAACGACTTCCATTTTTAAATATCACCGATGTAACATCCAGAGCGCTGACGAGGGCGAGGGGTGATCGCCGGTGCAAAGAGGCACAGACAAGGAGCGACTCCTAACAGGCTTCCAGCGGGGGTTACATGCATGAATGAATCGAATCGACACCCGAAAGAGAGGGATTCCAAAAGCTGTGCAGGTATAAGGCTGCACAGTTTGGGATAGCTTATAAGAATTTATTGGTACTACCTAAGCTAAAAAGATGCATCTGCTTTTCGGTAGCCCGGAACAGAAGAACTCCACAGTTAAGCGTGCTTGACTTGGAGCAATTCTGGGATGGGTGACCTCCTGGGAAGTTTGCCCAGGAAGTGTGCGAGTGAGGAAAAAGCACACTGAAAAGTCTCGTGTTAGTATGTGGGGATAGTCATTGATTCTTGAAGCGGCCGGACATTACTAATGGAGCAGGGCCTCTCTTACAGTACGGTGTGGTTCGAGGACGAACCAGGCGGAAGGTGGTGGGCATGTAACATCCCGGGCACTGACGAGAGCGGGGAGTAATCGCCGGTGCGTAAGGGCATGGACAAGGAGTGGCTCCTGGAAGGCTTCCAGCGACGGAGGTACATGAATGAATCAAATCAACACCCGAAAGAGAGGGATTCCAAAGACTGTGCAGGTGTGAGACTGCACAGTTTGGGATAGCTTATAAGAATTAATTGGTACTACCTATACTAACAAGATGCATCTGCTTTTCGGTAGCCCGGATCGGAAGAACTCCACAGTTAAGCTTGCTTGACTTGGAGCAATTCTGGGATGGGTGACCTCCTGGGAAGTTTTCCCGAGAAGTGTGCGAGTGAGAAAAAAGCACACTGAAAAGTCTCGTGTTAGTATGTGAGGATAGTCGTTGATTCTTGAAGCGGCCGGGCGTTACATTTTTAATCAGTTGATATTCTTCATTCATCAATTTGCAATTCTTCATTCATCAAATTTGCAATCACAGCAGATTTCCTACTCAGGGCATCAGCTACAACATTAGCTTTAACTTGATGGTATTTTAGTTCAAATTCATAGTCTTTCAGAAACTTCATCCATCTCTTTTGCCTTATGTTCAACTCTTTCAGATCAAATAGATACTTCAGACTTTTGTAATCGCTATACACTAAGAAACTAACACCATATAGAAAGTGTCGCTATATTTTCAAGGCAAACACTAGGGATGCTAGCTCTAGATCATGCATAGGATAATTCTCATCATGCAGTTTCAATTGCATAGAAGCATACGCAACAACTTTCCTATCCTGCATTTGGACACATCCCAAACCTTTCCCCGAGGCATCACAATAGACCTAGAAAGTACGCTCAAGATCGAGAAGAGTTAGTATTAGAGTAGTCGTCAACTTTTCTTTTAGTGTAAGAAAATAATCTTCGCATTCCTGAGTCCACACGAATGATATCTCCTTTCTAATCAAGCAGGTTAATGGTAAAACCATTATAGAAAACCCCTCAATAAATCTCTGGTAATAACCACTAATCCCAGAAAAATTCAGACTTCAGAAATAGTCTTAGGCCTCTCCCAATCCATCACGGCCTCTATTTTACTAGGGTCCACTGTCACTCAATAAGCAGAGATGACATGACCCAAAAATTGATCATCTGACAACCAAAATTCACACTTGGAAAACTTGGCATACAATTATTTATCCTTAAATGCTTGCAGAACAATCCTGAGGTGGTCCGCATGTTCCTTGTTATTCTTAGAATAGATCAAAATGTCATCTATAAATACAACCATAATTGATCCAGATATGGCTTGAACAAACGGTTCATATAGTCCATAAACATTGCCAGAGCATTAGTGAAACCAAAAAGAGTTATCAAGTACTCATAATGCTCGTATCTAGACCTGAATATAGTCTTCAGAATATCATCTGACTTAACCCGGATCTGATGGTAACCAGACCTCAAATCAATTTTTGAGAAGACACAAGCACCCCTAAACTGATCAAGCAAATCATCTATGCGAGGGAGAGGATACTTGTTCTTTATAGTCACTTTATTCAACTGCCTGTAGTTGGTCATAAGCCTCATGTTTCCATCCTTCTTCTTGACAA